GATAGATTGTTATTGCTTGATCCCGCCCCTTCTTGCAGGTTTAAAGGGGATTTGTACTTGAAATCACGCCAAATAGATTTAGGTTAATATGATTTTAATTCAAGTGATCACCAATAATAGATTTGATTGTGCGTTAATAATCAACCGACATAGATTAAATATGCTTAGGTTAAACTTGTGTTTGTATGTTGATCGAAAAACGCACATGAATATCATAAAAATTGAGTCGATGCCGATTTAGGGCGGGTTCAATCTCTTTTAGGTTGGATTCATACCATCCTCCCCGAATATTCAGTCATGGTTCTGGACCACTATGAAGTTAGCGATCTCCGTGATCGTGAATGGGGTGTAACCTCACACCCGTGAACGGTTTACAAGTTCCTAAAACTTGTTGGCGGCTCTTCTATCTCTAGCTTCTTTCCCTTTGGACGCCACCATGCTTAAAAGCATGATTACAATGGGGCTTAAAGTTAAGTTTGAAAAATTCCCTCCAGTTTTTGGCGACTCCACTGGGGAGGATTTCTAATTTTGATTCCTAAAATTTATTTTGGCAATTGATTTAGAATGAGTGGATGAGGCTTGAAAGATTTTAGATGTTCATATGCGTAATTTTGATTAATATTGTGGCATAAGCATAATAAGGTTCGCATTGGAAAGACCATCTGTAATGCGTCAAAAACATAGGATTTTTACACGTAGGAAAAGCCGGAAATATCTTTCACAACTAAAATCGAATAAACACTGCAAAAAATTGGAAAAAATATCGAATTCCAGAATTGGCGCGACGCGCTGGAACTGTCGCGAGATAGCAGCGACTGTCGCCAAACGACAACTTTATAGAGAGAGAGAGAGTTTGGCTCATGTGAGAAGTTGTCATAAGGTGAGAAGAGTGAGAAGACATATTGATCGTTAGATCAATTGCGTCTGACGGCTGGTGTTATTTGCACCTCATTAATGACAATTATGTAAATTCGTGAAAATTTGTACAGATAAATAGATCAGCAGTACCTACTAGCCCGTAGTTAGCTACCCATGAGAATAAGCTTCACAATTTAATTTTTTCTTTTCTCTCTATTTCCCCATCTTTTCTTTATCCTACCCCTCTGTATTTTCAATATCTTCATCTCTCACCATTTTCTAGCTGGAAACCATTATTTTACACGCTGTTTGTAACAATGATGCAAGCTTAAGTTGAATTATGTACTTGATTGAAACTCTAAATCATAAGAGGAGAGAGAAAACATATTCGAAGTTAGAAAGAGAAGTGGTATTCATTTGACGAGCGAGGTTGTCAAGTATTGGAGGGTCATGTAGTGGGTGTTTGTACACAAGCAGTAGCCATTTAAAGGATCAATCGAGTGCTCCATTTTTTCCAAGGAATTTTATAATGTACATTAAAAACACTATTAATGTATCTCTAAGACAAATCTAATGTAACTCTAAGACAATTCCAATGTATCTGTATCACAATACTAATGTAACTATACAACACCTTAATGTATACCTTAACATTAGGCAGTAATGGAAGGGACGAAAAGTCATATACCTTAAGCTCTTTAACATTATTTTACCTTTTTTGAGTTTTTAAAAAAATTTATTGGTGCATTTGAGATTCATGTTAATTGTATGTATTTGCAAGGTAAACTTGATGTATCTACCGTGATAAGTTGATGTACCTCTAATTATATATACTGAATTGCTAAACATCGCCCGCGAATCTCCACATAAAGCCCACAAAATTAGAGTGAATTGTCACTTTTGCCCTCAAAGTAAAAAACACAATTTCTTCTCTCAATTCTCTACTTCCACTTTCTCTCTCTAAAAAACTTTCCGAGCGATGTCGAGGCGGCCCGGCAAGGAAGTGGCGGCACAGGCGGCGGGTGGACAGCGGTTTTCCGGCGAGAAGGTATTTTTTATTAATTTTGTGTTTAAAAATTAAAAAAAAAAGGTCGGAGGCGGTGGCGGTGCCTAGGCCAGACGCCACCACCACGGCGGCGGCGTCTAGCCCAGACGCCACTACCACGGCGGCGGCGCCTAGGCCAGACGCCGTGACGGTGGCGGTGGCGTCTGGCCCAGGCGCCAGAACCACGGCACCGGCGTCTGGCCTAGGCGCCGCCGCCTTTTTATTTTTTTTTTTAATTTTTTTTTGGTTTTAAATTTGAAATTTAATTTTCGAAAATAATTATTTTTTTTTGATTTTTTTTTAAATTTGTTTTTCTTTTTTTTAATTTTAAATTTTATGTTTCTGATTTTTTTTTATTTTGTTTTAAATTTTGTTGGTTTTTTTTAAAAAAATTTTATGTTCCTCTTTTTTTTTTTTTAATTTTTAATTTTATGTTCTTGTTTATTGTTCTTGTTTTTTTTTTTTTTTGAATTAGTTTTTTTACTTAAAAAAAATTTTATGTTCCCTTTTTTTTGTTATAAATTTTTTTTAAAATTTTGATGTTCTTCTTTTTTTAAGTTTTTATAATTTTATATTTTTCACTTTGTTTTTTCCAATTTGTTTTTTTTGGGTAATTTTTTTTTTTGCTTTGTTTTTTCCAATTTTTTATTTATTTATTTATTAGGTTATTAATTTTTTTATTTTTAGGTTGTTAATATTTTGTAATGTTTTTAATTTATTTTCCATCATATGTATATTGTTTTATTTATTTATTTTAATTACTTTTTTTATGTTTATATTACATGTTTATATTGCATATTACATGTTTTGTTATTTTGTGTTAGGCATCGTATTTTCGTTCTGGGGCTGGGAAGAGTATGGACATTATGAGAAGTACGATGAACTCAATGGAGAGCTCGGGGCCCAGACACGTTAGATCCCGTGGTATTTCGGCCTCGGCTCGTAGAGAACGGGTGCACTATTCTGAGGATGATGAAGATGATGATGGTGATGAGGAGGAGGAGGAGGAGGATGCAGATGAGGATGTGGACGATCAGAGTGGACCATATGATGATTACGGTCCATTCAGTCAGAGGCTTGATGATGTGTATGAGACGCGTAGGGTAGACGTGCGTAAGGGTAGAGATGGTAGATTTGTTAGTAGATCTGGCACATCATCTGCGTCCACTGTGTCTGCGGTTAGCAGAAAACGGTCGAGGGCCGTTAATGATTCTTGGGTGGTGAGGGGCGAGGTGGCTGGGGGACCTATAGACGGGAGTGTGATTCCTAGCTTTCTAGGACACATCGCTACCCGTATTTGGGAGGACCAAGAGCGGGCTTTGGATAGCGGCATTTTGAAATGCCAAACCCGGGAGAGGACTTGTAACTTCTTGTGTAGTTGGGCTGAGGCTTGGCCGGAGGAGAGCGAGATGGTCGGCCGATTGAGGGCCACTAGAGTGAGCCACCTTCCTGCCACCATGCATGAGAGGATTGACTCGACGCTGATCACGGCTTTCGTTGAGCGATGGCAGCCGGACACGAACTCTTTCCACCTTCCGTTCGGTGAGATGACGATCATGTTGCATGACGTCGAGGCCATCCTTGGGATTCCCGTAGAGGGAAACCGAGCATCTGTTGTCACAGATGCGGATCAGGCAGATTTATTGGCGGAGCTGTTGGCGGTGGATAGGGCTGCGCTGTACACAGCGGCACTTGGTGTGTGGGATCACGGCGGTGTTAAGATCGCAGCAGTTTTGCAGCGATGTTTGCACCCCACTTCACGTAGGACGCAGGACACACAGCTGGCTGCATATGTTTTTCTTCTTCTCGGGTGTACCTTGTTTCCGGATAAGAGCGGAAACAAGCTCAGGCCACGCGACATAGTTGACGCGTGTGAGCCCGACAGAGTAGGCCAGTTTTCTTGGGGGTCGGCTACATTAGCGTACATGTATCGCCAGTTAGGATTCTCGAGCCGGGCTGATGCGGCAGGTATCACTGGATGTATGACGTTGTTACAGACGTGGATATACGAGTATTTCCCGGCGTTTCGACCACACCGCGACCCGGTTCCTATTGGGGATGGCCAGCCACGTGCCTGTGCGTGGAGTCCGCGTGTCGAGAAGAAGTCCATTGACCGCCTGCGATCGATACGGTTATTGCTTGACAGGATGTCCCCATTAGAGGTAAAGTGTTTAAATTATTTCTACTTTTATAGTTTGATGTGTTTATTGTATGAATCTTACTAATTTTAAAAAATGTGCAGGTGAACTGGATGCCTTTCGGCCAGAACCCTAGTAATAGGGTACCCAGGACCCTCTACACGGGACTGATTCAGTATCGTGAGATCGTAGAGGCGTACATGCCGCAGCGCTGTCTTCGCCAGCTTGGATATGTCCAAGTTGTTCCTCCTCCACCAGCATGGCCCAGTAAGGCCGTCCGATCTGCGTCGTTGAAGGAGTACGTCGTCCAATGGCCGGCAAGCATGATTGGCACGTGGGAGCAGTTTCCGATGGTTGCCCGCATATGGATTGAGCAGTTGCAGCGGCCGCCAACTGGGGTGGCTGCCATGTGTGACCAGCACTACATGGAGTGGTACAACCGGCACTCGCACCCGAGGTTGATCAGAGACGTCCACCACGGCGACGACGCCGATGATGATGATGTGCCACCGCCCACTGCCGTGGATGCGGTACGTCTCATAAAACATTTGTAGTTGTGTTTTTTTTCATATAATACGTCTCATAATACGTCGTTATTGAATTTTATGTGTTTTGTTATGTGTAGTGGATGGGAAAGATGACGCAGTTGGGACACAGACTTTTTGAGGAGAGGGACAACATGACGACTGCAACAGGCAGAGCTGTTATTGATGAACTGGAACGGGCCCTTGAGCAGTGGCAGTGGGCGTCACAGAGAGATTATTGATATGTCGGCAGTGCATTTATAAAACATTTTCCTAGTTGTTTGTAAAAGTTAACATTATCTGTTCTTATAATTATTATTTTAAGTTCTTAGAATTTGACATTATATTTTTAGTTTTTATAACTTTTATTTTAAGTTGTAATTAGTGGGCATACGAAAACTAAATACAGGTTCACATTTAAATGGGAAAACTAAATACGAAAATTAGAATCCGAAAATTAAATAAATGGGAAAAACATAGCAATAGCAATATTAGGTCACATAGAAAAGGCAACTAGATTGTTCCACTGCTGCACCCGGTCATGATATAACGCATCCCAGCCCTCTACGCTTGCTGTACGAATGGTGTACCACGTTGGTATAATCGGTGGGACCGGAAAATCGGGTGACAGGTCCAGTCGGATGAAATGTCTGTATGACGGCCCTAGAAATCCAATAGCAACCTCTCTTACCGGTCTGGTGACGGTCTCACGCGAACACCAAGGCAGAACCGTGGTACACGGATAGTAAGCTCGACCATGCAAACCAAGGCCGAAATGCATCACTGCACACTTGTAGATGTTTGCAACGGCGAAGAGATCAAGGGGCGCGTCGAACCAATGATTTTGACCGCAACGTCCTCCTCCCCACCGGATACGCTGCAGAGACCTATCCAAGTCCTGTCCGTACACGTAGCGATAAACAGCTCGGTTTGAGGCGATTTCACTGTACATCAACTGACGCACTAAACCGTAGTTGTCTTCACCCATCTGAAACACATCAGCCACAACCCGAAATCCACAGTTACCATCTGCAACCACATCATTCCACCCGTCCAGGAACGGCATCATGATGTTAGGGATCCTGTCTTTATATGGAAAATGTTCAATGTCCATTCTGCCTGTTGCACACATCAAAAAACACAATTAACAAGTTAGCAGAAAACTAAACAAACACTCTAAAAAGTAAATTAAACTAAAGTACCGTACCGGTGCCGGGCATATTCACCGACGAAGATGTTTGACTACCACTTGATGACGATGTACGACCACGGCCACGACCACGACCACGACCACGAATGTACTCAAACGCACTCCTTTCCCGCCGTGGTTGTCGGCCCCGTGGTCGCTCGACCCCCTCAGGTTCCTCATGATCCAAGCACGACGAGTTGAACATGTCATGAAGTACGTGGGTAGCACTACGAATGACTGAAGGGTGGCTGGAGGACACTTGGTCAAACATCGAACGAAACTTCCATGAGTTGAACATGTCATGAAGTACGTGGGTAGAGTTCTTGATGCCGTTCCTCTGAGTATCAATAGCCTTGTTTATTCTCTCGAACAGTGTATCCAGAGCAGAGGTGGAAGAATCAATCCAGTCCTTCAGAGCTCTATGAGCGCTCTCAACTCTACATGTAGTAGTGTTTCCAAAATGAAGAACTTGGTTTGTCCAATATTTGACAAACTTTTCCCTCTGAGGCACCCACTGCTGCATCACATAGTCTACGATTGCCGGGCACCATTGGTATGCATCCTTGAAGTTATCCAAGGCTCGGTCGTACTCTGCCTCCGTGGTAGCTTGCAGGATCTTCCGCCACTTACCATTTACCAATCTCTCTGCTGAATCTAAGTTCTTGTTGAAAAGGTTGTAGGCTTTGACTTTCACGCATTTGTTGATGTGCCATGTGCACAGTAAATGGCTCGACTCCGGAAACAGCTCCGCTATAGGGGCAAAGAGACCTCCCTCACAATCGCTGACGATGGCCGATGGCTGAACACTTGGGCCGATGTAATTTCTCAACTTCTCCAACACCCAACGGTAACTCGCAACCGTCTCATCCTTCATAACTGCATAACCAATCAAAAAGTTCTGGTTCGTTGGAGTCATCCCAACCATCTCAACCAGTGGAAACTTATACTTGTTTGTCTTGTACGTTGAATCGATCAGAATCACAGATGGCCAAGACGAAATCATATCAGCACAATCAGGATGCACAAGGAACAAATGAGTCACCTCCGATGTGTCTTCATCAGATTCAAACCAGTACAGGTAACCACGTGCTTGTGCCTGGTGTAGAAGCTGCTGTATAGGGTTCCTTCCCTCTGACCGTTCAAACCTCAATTTATGTCTGACGTTGTAGATGTGTCTTCGGTTTGGCTGGTCTTCAGGAAATTTCTCCAACACAGATGCTAATATTTTAGCAGGCTTCACTTGAGCATCACTCATTTCTTTTACAATTAGTTTCGCAGCAGGACTTAGGCCACTTAACTGTCGATGACCCACTTCATATGCGATCATCTCATGGTTGTGATACCCCCATTTACCGTAACTCTTCACTTCCCAACCGTCACCCCTTTGCTGTTGTCGAACCTTTACTCTGAACTGACACCCACAACCTTTCCGCTTTGTATCAAACCGAATCGCTTGACTGAAATCTAGTTCCTCCCTTTTGCGATAACGGTCGCATCTCAAAATGCGATCCATTCTACCATCCCGTTGAGATTTATGAGTTGCTACTACTAAACAAAAACCTGATCTAATTGCAACCTGTTTCGCCCAATCAACCGCTTGTTGAGCATCTTCGAACAGACCATCGTGTACAAAAATCCCACTATAATCATTTCCGTCTCCACCATAATCCTGCAACAATAACATATAAATATAATCACATAAGAGTAGATTAAATTAATACATTTGACACAACATTAGCACAAAAGCAAAAACAATAATAAATTATAAACAACAAACAAAGAAATAAACAAAAAGTATTCAAAAAAAAAAAAAAACAAAACACAAAAATAAAAAACATAAACAAAACTTTAGATTAAATAAATAAAAATAAACCAAAAAAATAAAAACAAAAAAAAAACATAAAACGAAAAAAATTGTATAAAAAATAATAAAAAATAAATAAATTAAAAACAAAAACAAATTAAAACAATTAAAAAAAAAACAAAAAAAAAACCAAAAAAAAAAGAAAAAAATTGTAACACAAAAAAAAAAAATAAACAAATTTTAAATTAAATTAAAAAAAAAAAAAAAAAAATAGTGGTGGCGCCTAGCCAGGACGCCGCCACCGTGGCGGTGGCGTCTAGCCAGGACGCCGCCACCGTGGCGGTGGCGCCTGGCCAGGACGCCGCCACCGTGGCGGCGGCGTCTTGGCCAAACGCCACGGCCACGGTGGCGGCGTCCTGGCCAGGCGCCAGAGCCACGGTGGCGGCGTCCTGGCTAGGCGCCACCACTACGGTCACGGCGTCCCGGCAGGACGCCAGCCGCCAATTCGTGGTTTTAGATGGCTTCGTACCTCCTTTTCCGGCGTCAACGGCGTCTCTCCGGTGCATCTACCCGACGTTGAGGGCTCTTCGGTTTCACTCGGCGATCCAGTCCTGCTCCACATTTTTTATGAGTGAAAATTTTTATTTTCGGTAAAAATTAAAACAAGGGCAATAATGTCAACATTTTTAAAAAATGTGGGCTTTATGTAGAAAAACGCGGGCGATGTTTAACAAATCCCATAACTTAATGTATCTAAATTTCTCACGCTTCTCACGATAAGTATACTTCTCACCGGATCATATATATATATATATATATATATATATATATATATATATATATATATATATATACACATATATATATATATATATGTTGGTTGTTTTATAAAAAATTATCATCTTTTTAATTATTTGCAATCCCGAGGACAAATTTCAGCATTAGATTGTATTAAATCCATCAGCTGAGATTAATGTAATTTGCAACATAACAAAACCCACCCAAACCCAACATCACACATAACCTCTTTCTCTCTCCAGAAAAAATTTACCCAACTTATTTTTCTCTCTCCAAAGTTGAAGGAGAAACATCAATGGTTTGAAGCTTCAAGGATTGATCATTTCTCTCTCCTCTTGTTCACTTACACATAATTTTGGTAAGTAATTTTCGAATATCATGCCCTTAATTTTGGTTTTTCATTATAATTTTCGAATTTGATGTTCAAATTATCAAATTATCAAATTTTGGTGTTCTGGAAAATTTCGAATTTGAATGCTCTTATTTTGGTTATTTAAGTTTGACATTATGATTTTTGCTAGATTTTTTGAGTTGAGTGCTCTCAATTTAGGATTTCCATTATAGATTTCCTATTGCATGTTACTTTTACGTTAATTAAAGCTAATTTTCGTGAAATTTTCTATTGAATATTCTTAATTTGTAAAATTTTTGTTAATTTTTGAGTTGATTAATTTTTGTTATGAATTATGTAATTGTGTTGCAATTAAAACTTGGTTTAAAATGGGTTATTAATGCATTTTTATGATACTTATATATATCCTGATAGTGCATACAAGGTGTTTGATAAAATGCTTGTTAGAAATCTTGTGACTTGGTACTCTATTATCAATGAGAAAACATAATTAAAATGAGCAAACTAAATATGAAAAGTAATATAGTAAAAATAAAATAAGTGAACAAAAATAAAATAAGCAAAAAGAATTAAAATGAGCAACAATTATTTGCTCATTTATCAAATGAGCGACAATTATTTGCTCATTTATCAAATGAGCAAACAGTTCTTTACTAATTTATCAAATGAGCAAAAAGTTCTTTGCTCATTTATCAAATGAGCAGCTAATTCCTTGCTCATTTATCAAATGAGCAACAATTCATCGCTCATTTATCTAAGAGCAACAAGCTAGATTAAGGGATGCCATGATTGACCAAATTAGTGGCTGAATCTCCATCATCTCTAAGGTAACTTATAATCAATAAATTGTGGGAGACTGAGAGACATAACGGGTGCATTACAGCGTCTCTCTTCACTTGAGGATTTGAAGCTTTGTCACTGTGAAAAAGTAGATTTGTGGGATGTCAAGAATGATGATGATGCCTTAGCTACTTGAGCTTGTATTCAATCTCAAAACTGAAATCTCTTCCTAGGAGCCTATACTATGTCACAAGTCGTGAAGAAACTTACATTGATGAGCTCTCTGAATTAAGGGGCCAACTAGAATGGTTTGACAATGTAACCCAGCTAGGATATATTCCATTTTTAGGTGTACGTTAAGGTTTTCCTTAATAATTAGTTGTAGTTTTGTAATTTACATGCTATGGGGCTTGGGGAGTTATTTGATAGAGGTTTGGACAAGAGTTGATAGAATGTTACTGCAAATTACAATTATTATTTATGTTTGTGTTGGTGTGTGTAATGTTGGGGCTTGGGGGACTATAATGTTGGTGATGACTGTTGAGTATGATTGGCTTCAAAGAGTAATTTAATTTGACATTTGGAAGAGAATTCTATAATGCTTCATCTCAATGTGGGTGAATTTGACTTTTCAAGGCTTTTGCTGAAGTTGCTATGTTTTTTTTTTTGAAGTGTTGCATGGTAGCAAATGGGTTCTTTTTCATGAATTTTGATCTTATGATAAACCTATTAGCTCAATTGGTAGAGCACTATGCAAATGCATAGGGGATGTAGGTTCAATTCCTACATAGGTTATCTCTATAAACAAAATTAATTTAAAAAAAAAATCAAATTCGTACTAAATTATATGAGCAAAAAAATGGTTTGAAATGATTTATAACTATATAAACTTTGTTACAATTAAACTCTCACACAAACTTGTGTCTCCACATTACATAAATGAACCTACGTGGGATTCGAACCCACATCTTTTGTGCATTTGCACAATGCTCTACCCTTGAGCTAGTAGGCTAACGTATTTAAAACATTCAAACACACTCACAAATGAGCATTAATTTGACAAAATAAGCAAGAATCATTTGCTCATTTGAATAATGAACATTAAATAGTTTGCTCTTTTGACAAAGGAGCATTGAATTTTTTTGCTCATTTGACAAATTAATGCTCTGATGAAGCTAGATAGGCTCTAATGATCAATATTGTTTAGTTTGTGCTGTGCAGATGAGACTCGATCTTAGGTAGTTGAACAAATGGGAAAAAAGTATTTGCTCATTTGATAAATGAGCAAAAAATTATTTGCACATTTTTGCTCATTTGATAAATGAGCAAAAAATTATTTGCACATTTGTCAAATGAGCAAATAGTTAGCTGCTCATTTGTCAAATGAGCAAACATTTCTTTAATCATTCATTAAATAAACAAGTATTTCTTTGCTCATTTGTGAAATGAGCAATCAATTATTTGCTCATTTGACAATTGAACAAATATTTCTTTACTCATTTATGAAGATGTTACATGTTCTGTGTCTGCAGCACTCAAACA